ACATGGCATTGAGCAGAACCAACAGCATATGCAGCCACATGCTGCACACCTCGTGGATCAGTGCTGGAGTGCAAAACTTGCAGCTGCTTGGAAAACTGCTTTCCACCTTTCGACTGCCTAACGCCTCTCCGCGCTCTGCTGCGTCGCATCGGCGCGGGTGTCGCTCTGAGGTGACCACGCTGCCTTCACGTTGCCCGTCTGACGGAAAGCACCAGGGCGAGACCGTGCGGTCTGTCCAGATCCACCGAGACACCGGTCTGCGCGCCTTGCTCGCGCCTTGCTCGCGTCTGCGTGCCGTTTTCTTGCGTCTCGGTGTGAGGCGAGAAACGGCGGTCTATTGGAACTAATGAAACACCCAGCGCGTCAGGAATCATTGACCTTCTTCTTCGGCTTGGTGGTACTCCAAGTGCATCTCCTGTGACTATGAGCCACCAGTCCCCTCTTTGCGCCGTTCGCGACATTGCAATGAGTGGACAAAACTCTCTGCACCTGGTTAATGTACCACGTAGTAATCGCATATCTCTCACCTCGGGTACAAAAAGACAAAACGTGCTGAACTCTGAAGACTTCCGAAGTGAACACCCAGCTTGATCTGTCGCACAAGTAGATTAGGTGGATCATGTTGACAGGATCATTTGGACAAAAGCGATATCATATGGGTCACATGGGATATTTTTTCTCGCCTCGACACGTTGGGGTGAAGCTGAAGGACCACCCGCGAGTGATTGACCACAGCCACATGACCCTCGCAAGTCCCTTCTTTCTTGGGGAGGCCACTGGTCATAGGGACGACCAATTTCTGCATGTGGGATACCAACCTATCAGAACCACCAGACCTCCCATACAAATCCAACGAAACAAAAGACTCTACAGTTCAGTCCGCCACTTAGACTTAGCTGCGAATCTCTGGGGGAGTGGGTGAACATAACTTTACAGTACAAAAGATGATGCCATGAGAACCCTTCACGCGCTCCATGGGAACCCGTCCACGGATGTCTGTCGAACTCCCTTCCGCCGAGCTGCGGCGGCAGCGCCGCACCTCGTGGGGCACCGAGGAGTCGCTAAAGAAGATCACCAGACCTTCGATGCGTCCCCATGCGATGCAGAGAACACGGCAGATCACGGCAGACGAGGTGCTAGTAAGCAGGGTCATGTCTTTACCGGATCTCTGTCAAAGACAAACACAAGCAAAGCACACATATTATATATACATATGATGCGGCATGAAACATTGACGATTGACGACAACCGTCCAATCCAACCAAAGTTGGGTCTGGACACGGTTCATCTTTGGAGCAACGTCTGCTTTGATCCGCTGGTGGTCCGGCTCGAACCTCTGCGACATGCGTCGTTGAGCGATAAAGTTCCGATAAAGCTCAAAGGCATCCCGGCATTGCACTGGCATTACAATGCTTGAGTTTTATATAGATATTCTTGGAAAATGGGAATTGCCACACAAAGCTGAGCTTGTGACAGGCGGATCTCACCACCATCCTTCTCCTCATCCCAATCTTCGTTCAAATAGAATGTACAAGTAACCAATCCTGAGCAACCGCGAGAAATACCACAAAATGAGCCAAACCGTTGAAAGCTAGAAGTGTTCAGAGGATGATCCATGGCTGCCATGGCTCGTCCATTCCGGCCATCCTCATTGTCAACATGGCGGATGTAACGAGCATCGTCCTCAGTGTCCGCTGCACGCGGAAACTGGGATGACGGGGGCCATGGCATTCGCCCTGGCAGTAGTTGCGGCTGAGATGCATTGTCGATGCTGCCTGGAAAGCTGGTCAGCTGTGCATCGGAGAGCGCGGTGATCTGCTGCGTTCTTGCTTGTATGCTCTCCTCCACAGGGATTGAGGCCCAATCAACTCCCAGAAGAAGGGTCTTGCATTTCCTGCGTCATGAAGCCAAGGCTCCTGGGGGAGCTCCATCAAAAGGGTAATCACTGCATTGGTGAATTCCACCAACCGTCCTCGGTCGTCCCAATGTTGCCCACCCCCGGACAGGACGGGAGGACGGTCTGAACATGCAGCCAGCATGCCCATTTCCGGTACGTCATCCGGTGGGACCCACAGCACCAAGTCACCTCGACCTGAGGAAACAAAGAAACGTCCAAAAATCATCAAAACTCCGCGGTGTTCTAAGCGGAGTCTCACTTTCTTTTTCGGATTGGTCCGATCCCAACATGTGGTTCTGCAGGAAGCTTAAGGGGGTCCCAAAGAATAACATGAGGCTGCTAGAAAGGCAAGTCAGTGGCAAGAGTTGGGCATTCAGAATCATGGCCTAGGATAATAAGGATTACAAAACTCTACGCTCCTCGCATACGCTCTGAGTCGGAAACCTGAAGCTGACAGTGTGGAATCGGTCTTTCCTGGACCCATGTCTGGCTTCATGCGCTGCACAGCGTCTCTTAGGCTTTTCGCGTCTGCAACTGGAAGAAAGTCGTCCTGCAAAGGGGCCGTCGATGAAAAGCAATCCAAAATCCAGGTCCAGAACCGCTAGTTCAGTATATAACTCTTGTTGCTCCTTTGAACAGGCTTGAGAGGCAATTGGACTTGCTGGATGGTCTGAGTACAGTAGCGTCCTCCAAGACCTACAAGGCCCTCGAGTCTTTCTTTAGGGTTGGATCGTGTTTGGGTACAATGACACACACCCAACAACATATCAAACGGGGCAACACACCTATAGAGATCACCATCAATAAATAGATCTTGAAATCAAAATGATTATATAAGCTGATGATACATGATGCCGGTCCAGGACAGCGAAGCTCTCACGTGCGAGCGCCTCACACAGCTTTGTCCATGTCAGAAGGAAACCGCAGCACGGGCAGCTCGTGGATCCCAGCCTGACCCCAAACAGAGACAGCCTCCGGTGTAGCCCACCATACACCCGCATCGTTGGAGGGGTCGAAGTTGCTTCGGAGTGCAGCCAGTGGAGCAAAAAGGGTCTCCTGCAACAATGTCATACAGGTGACGGTAAGGCACTTGTTTCTACTAGCTTCTTGTTACTACTAGTAAGGCACTTGTTACTAGAAGCGATGCACTTGTTCCTAGTAGCTTCTTATTACTATACTAGCAAGGCACCTGTTACTACTAGCGTGGCACCTGTTACTACTAGCGTGGCACCTGTTACTAAGTGGTTCTTCGTTTTTTGCAAGATCGAATGTCAAAGAAACGAACATTCCTTCCTTGAGCCTATCCCTGCTTGAACACTTATCTGCATCTGTCGGAATACTGTAGTCCTCCCTTCCTCCTTTCCTTTCCCTTTTCCTTTCTTTTTCCCCTTCCCCTTCCAGTTCCGTTCCGTCCTTCCTTCCTCCGTCTTTCCCTCATTCGCTGACTTCAAGTGATAAATGACTCACTAGTCACTATTGTTGGACACAATAGCCAGGAAAACTTGGAAAACCTTTTTTGGTGTCCCTTTTTGGCTCACCTGGAGGCGCTGCGACGTAGAGTCACTGGGAGGCTTGACCAAGCGCCTGGGTTCGACTGAGAAAGATACAAAAAGCGATGCTCAAGCATCAGCAGGCGCTCTGAACTAAGAGCACTAGAGTAAACAAAAGAACAAAAGGATATACAACCAAATCTTCTCAGCAGCTTTCTACCAGGTTTGGTGCAAGTCCCGAGTCCCTACCTGCATTGAATGAGAAACTTATATAAGGCGAGCTGCCAGTAGTTCAACTCATACCTCAGCATACCGCATGCCCAACAGTGAAGAAAAAAATAATGCACAGTTTGGGCCAGAAGCACTGCAAAAGCACCGTGCTCGATAGTTGGGAACGCACAGTGCTTCCCGCGAAGAAATTCCAACCCTTCCCTCCAATGCTTGTTGTGGTGCTCTAGCATCCACTGCTCATTCTCACCATTCTTGAGCAACTCCCCTGTGGGAAGGCGCAGGAATAGCTGACCAGCCTGGACTGGGTGGCGCACAGTTGCATCATGTCGCACATCTCAACATCATGCATCACTCAAACAAGGACTTGAGACTTGTTCAGCAACCCCAAAAAATAAAGTAGGCATTGGCATGGGTCGGAACTAAAGACCCTGAAATGAGTCAACATCATCCTCGTGATCTTATATCTTCATCAAATTCCTTTGCATCTCATGAGGCATGAGATCTGCGCCTCTTCAATCACTGCATCTGCGCCCTTCGCCAGCAGCTGGGCCCAGTTCTCGCCGGCCTGCTCCAAGGCCTTGCCGACTCCCCGGCTCTATGAGGCTCCTCGGCTACCACCTTGTCTTTTAAACCTTAGAATTGAAATGTTTTGTTAAACAGTTATATGTAATGTTAGGTATATACAGTACATACATTGGCGCATAGGTCTTCTCCGCAAGCGGCACTTAGAATCCATCTTTCAACCCAACCCTCTCGGCTGAAACCTCTCTCCACGCCTCGCCAAGCTCATCGCCTCGCAAGTCTACACGCTTGGCCACACGTTGGTCATCCAGCTTATCGGCAAGCCTTGGATCCAGGGTCTGCCAGGGTGCTGAGGGATGTAGAGGGCGACTGCAGGCGTTTGGGATGTCAGACTGGAGAAGAGACCTTTTCATTAAGGAAGGCCCTTCCTGGGACCTACACTTCCACACCGAAGCGTCGTTGCCACTTGCATCTTGCAGCCAGCTGGCCCCATGATTTCTGCATCTTCTCCATCATAGAACAAGATGAGCTGAGGCTCCTCCAGGATCCCTTCGAAAATGAAAGCCAGAATGACTTCAGTATATTATACAAGCAAATGCGAAAGATTCCATTCATGTCCGCCGCCAACACCTCTCCTCAGCTTCAACCTCTGCTTCTGCAGCTTCAGTGGGTGTCTCCTCCTGCTGTGCCTCTGCCCTTGGCGGAGCCTCCGAGTGAGTCGTAGCACCCACCTCCTGGATGAGCCAGAGCGAACTTGGCATCTGTTCCTATCGACTCCGCTGAGATTTTGACACTGCTACATACTTGGTAGACCAAAGAGGCATTGACACCCTCCTTCTTGGTGGCATGACACCCTGGATTCATTCTGGAATTCCTGGCGTTCCTGGAGTTGACTTCCTGGATGAATGGAGTTGCAACTGAGGGGCTGTCAATCGGATCGATGGGTTCTTTCGGTCATAGTACCACAGAGTTGCCGCAAAGCCTTGGAAAACACGGCTGTGCCACGGTGAGTCCAAGACTTGGTCAACATCTTGCTTCAGCTGAGTCACGGTCTTTACGTGTCGAAAGCACTTCGTGAGGACTACGATCATCAGACCAGAACAGCAGAAAGCGATTCCACAAGGGCTCCACCTCCATTCTTACCTTGCAAAGTTACAGCACTTGGCAGGCTCAGTGCCCTTCCAAAACAAACAAGGGGTGTCCGAAAGGTCTTTCGATGCTCCTAGGTCAAGCACAGCCAACGAACAGCAATGCAGCAAGGGACCTTGAGGTTCTTCTCTCCTGCCACCAGTTATGTTCATGACACACCTTCCATTCACAAATTTATCTGCTTCATACCATTCCCTATGTGCCATGGTGAACTCCTGGGTAGAACAAACGCAGTTCACCACCATCGCCCTTCTGCCAGCCCTCCTGAAAACTTTCGAGGGCCATCATGGGCCATCCACACTGGAAGTGCCAGCAACTAGGCTTGCTAAGGCAATGACATTGAGATACACCAAGGCCGTCAGCAAGCGCCCATTTCCAGAGGAATTGGATGCTCTGGAATTGTCCGTATGTCGAAAGTATCCTGGCACAAGTCAAGCTGGTTTACATGTGGAAAATGAACCCCCACATATTTGCAGGGGGGAACCTCAAAAATGGTAAGTTACATCCTTTCCGGCAGGTCCACCACAAGTCCAAATGCATGGAGTCCACAGCCTCCAGTCCACTGCAATCAAAAACGACACTGATTGAGGAGTTTCCCCTGTGCCTCCGGCCAAGTCAATTTGTCAACACAGCTCCCCTTAAAGCCTTCAAGCTTTCCGCTGTAAAAATTGTCGCCACAAATGTCTTCCCCAGCTTTGCCCCATTTCTGCCGAGCAGCGGGCACGATTTGCCCCTGGATAACATGTGAGCATGGTCTCAGAGCGCCAGCGCACACCTGAATCAAAGCTCTGACATCGATGTCTGTTCAGGCATTGGTTTCAACATGTTTCGACCTGATTCTATACAACAAGCATATCCGCAAAGGTAGTGACTAGCGTGCGGCATTACAGTTCAGACATGAAGCACACGGTATTTGATATTATTTGATGCTGGATATGCTGGCATGTAAGTCAAAATATCACTTTGTCAGTTTGTAAGAAGTGCGCTTGAGACTGCGCTTGCCACACTTGGTGCCACGTCTTCTGCTGCTTCTGCAATGCAGGTCATCGCGTGTTCGATGTGTTCCTTGGTCATTGCGCCCTGGGGCCCCAGGAGTCGAAGAGGGAAATCGCTGCGACCCAGCCGCCGCAAAGGTACGTACGCAGCAGCTCTCTTCAGTCTCCCCATCGTAGCCGATCCATTTCAGTACATCACCACCTAAGCCACGCCGTACGCAGCGCGAACCATGGCGAGAGATGCCGGGTTCCCAACGGTGGGCGATGCCAACCCTCTCGCTGCCTTAGGACCCGAAGCCCAAAAATGAGCGGGTGAACTCCTTCGTTGGTTGCCAGGGTCCTCCTGGAGTCCTCCTGGAGTCCTCCTGGAGTCCTCCTGGAGTCCTCCTGCAACCCTGTTGGGAAGGTGTTGGACTATTGGTTGGGACGCCAACTGAGAGAATGGCCACCAGTTGTTTTGCCTTCCTGCATTTCCGAATGCTCGTAGAGCTTCATATTGTTCGCCTGGTGCACATCATTGACGAAAAAATTGAAGGCCCAAACCAGTTCAACCACTCCCGCATGAGGACAGGTTGGAATGTGCAACTTCCAACTTGTTGAGAGACAAGCTGGTGGTGGTGCTGCCGCTGTGGTGAATTAGGAGCTTTCCCAGGTTCCCTTATTCACAAGCACTTCACTGTGTTCTCTGACGCGTCCAATGCCTTCACAGACCGCACCACTTCCTCCGGCAGAAAGTCATCGATGACAACGAAACCCACCTGCAGGTCGGGAAGAAGGAACTGGTGTATGCTATAGTACTGCTATAGGCTGTAGGATCTGAAGGCTATAAGCTCTATAATTTATACTATAAATGATAAGTGTCTTGTTTTTCCGATCTGTGCACGTTGGGGCTGTTTATGGTGCTTGTCCGTGAAAGATTAAAAGCATCAAAGCACCGCATGCTGCAGCGTCTGCGGCGCAAAATACAGCTGCTGGGACAGAAGTTGGAAATAGCAGCCTTGTTGCTGCGGGCATGATTAATTTTTAGAAAATCTGCCAGAAAATGTCAAAAGTAAAAATGGGGACCCCACTGCAACGCTGTTGGCGCAGATTCTGCGCCAATGCGGTGCTGTGCACACCTGAGTCTAGGCCAACGATGGAGGCATCGCAGCCCCGGATTTCACCAAGGTGGCTTGATTTGGGCTTTCGCCCAGGAATTCCACACGACCAGTCTCCAGGTCATAGATGCCGCCTTGGATCTCCACTTCACCCGCAGCGACCTTCTCTCGAATCAGGGGGCTGTACTGCAGCAGGAAGTCAATGGTGTGGAAAACGTTCAGCTTGATGGTCTTCGCCACGATCTGTTGCTCAGTGGCACCTTCACCCAACTCAACAGAGGCCTTTTTGGCAACATCGCTGAGCCCCACGAGGAGTGCATCCAAGGCTTTCGTCACCTGAGGTTTGTTGCCTGCTTTGCACTGCAAATAGGTCGCGGTTGCACCCTTAATAGCTCCGCAAGCAGTGTGCCCGAGCACCATCACCATCTTGGTGTTCAGGGCGCCGAGACAGAACTCCAAACTACCGACCATGCTGCCCTCGGAATGAGTGCAAGTGTTGCCTGCGTTGCGCAACACGAAGATGTCACCAGGCATGGCATCAAACACGGTCTCCAAAGGTGCACGAGAGTCTGCACAGCCAATGATGGCGGTGTGGGGCGCCTGACCCTCCTTCACCAAAGCCTTCCTCATGTCAGAACTGATCTTGCCGGCAACTGCTGCACCGACAGCGAAGCGGTCGTTGCCCTCCCTCAGAAGTTTCATTGCCTCCTTTGGTGGCATGGGCCCATCAGTTGTCGTTCGGATTGGCAAAGCCTGCAGGGACGGTGGCAGGCTGGAGTCAGATGCCAGCAATTGTGCCTGATGCGGTGAACGGCCCATGAACTCCACACGACCAGTTTCAAGATGGTAGACGCCACCCTGGATTTCCAGGTTGCCACTCTTCACAAGCTGCCTCAAAGGCTCGCTGTACTTCAACAGGAAGTCAATGGAAGTGAAGACATTCACCTTCACGGCATGGGAAATCAACCTGTGACTTTCCGCACCAACACCAAGCTCCTCTTCGGCCTGGTGTGCCACACGGGACAAGCCAACCAACAGTCCCTCCAGGGCACTGCCTGCACTCTTGGAGGCACCCCCATCCTTGCTGGCAAGATACGTGTTGGTGGCACCGGCAATGGCTCCACATTGCGTGTGACCAAGCACCAGAATCAGCTTGGATCCCAACTTGCCACAGCAGAACTCCAGGCTGCCAACCATGGAGCCTTCTGCATGAGTGCATGTGTTGCCTGCGTTCCTCAACACAAACAAATCTCCTGGCATGGCATCAAACACAGTGTCAACGGGCACACGGGAATCTGCACAGCCCATGATGGCCGTGTGGGGGGCCTGCCCATGGCTCACCAGTGCCTCACGCATCTTGGAAGTAGCATGCTTGGCCAGCGGAGCACCCACAGCAAACCTCTCATTGCCAGCCTTAAGCATCTGCAAAGCTTCTTCAGCTGGCACCGCACTGTCCACAGTGGTGCGCACTCCATGTTCGCCACGTGCGGGTGGGCCATAGCCACCAGCGCGGCCACCCTCGCGGGTCATAGACGGAGGGAGACCCAAGTTGGAGCTTAAAAGTTCCGCCTGCTGGGGAGATCGCCCCATGAATTCCACTTTTCCTGTGTCAAGGTGGTAGATACCACCCTGGATCTCAACCTGTCCACTCTTCACCTTTTCACGGATGGGGGCGCTGTACTTCAGCAAGAAGTCGATGGTGTGGAAGACATTCACCTTCACAGCATGGGCAGCCACTTCATCTGCATCACTGTGAGCACCCATGTCTGCAACTGCCTTCTCTGCCACTGGAGCCAAGTCCAGCAAGAGGCCTTCAAGGGCTGAGTTCACACTTGACACCTCGTTCTTCTTTGCCTCCAGGTATGCATTTGTGGCACCATAGACAGCACCGCACTTGGTATGGCCCAGAACCAAGATCATGCGAGCACCCAATTTGCCCGTGCAGAATTCCAAGCTGCCCACCATGGAACCTTCAGCATGAGTACAAGTGTTGCCAGCGTTGCGCAGCACGAAGATGTCTCCCGGCAAGGTGTCAAAGATCGTCTCCAAAGGAGCGCGGGAGTCAGCGCAACCAATGATGGCTGTGTGTGGGGCCTGGCCCATGTCGACTAGCTGCTGGCGCATGGCTTCGTTGGTTCGAGTTGCCTGTGGCTCACCTTTGATAAAGCGGGCATTGCCTTCTTTCAAAAGCTTCAAGGCCGCATCAGGTGGCATAGGTGCATCGGCGGCAGTGCGCACTCGGCTGGCCATTGCTGCAGGAGAGGTGTGAAGGAGGAGCTGGACGGTAATGGGCCCTTGTGTCTCTTGAGCCATAAATAAAAGTGTATATGTGCGTTGGGCATACGACTATACACATGTATATAATGGACTCATTTTAGAATCTAGCATGCGAAGAAATGGTCTGGAGCAAAGAAGATGCCTCTTCTGTGCGCTCAGCTGTGAAACGCCCCTGTGCACCTCGTCCAGTTGCTTGGCTAAGATCTCCAAGGCCTCAGACGGTTCCAATCAGCGGCCTGTATCTTTGACCGGGGCACCGGCCTCTGGCTGCTTCCACCAAGGGCCTTTCATGGACCTCCAACAATTAAAATACGCGCCAAGGATATATATATATATACAATCTGAAACCCAGGTGCTTAGGCTTTGGCCTCAGAGGCTTCAGGTATCTTTCCTCCATTTCACGTTGTTCCTTGGCATTGGGATATTCCAAACCTCAGCCACACCGTGGTGGAACGTGGCGGCTGAGATTCCACACCGTGGCTGAGACCCCTCACAGGTGCGGTACCGAAGCTCCCGCAAGAGTGGCCAGGGATCCATCTCAAGGTCCTGCACATGGGAGAGCTGCGCTGACCGGAGGGCCACATGGAGATGACCGGAGGGCCACAGTGCCCACAGGTACAGTACTTTGATCGTCTTCCCTTCTTGAGGTCCCTGGCGGGTGTCATGATTCTCTCTTTGAATATCTCTTGAATACTGTTTTGCCCAACCCCGGTGTGCAGGTGCAGAAACCAGGAAAGGGCCACAGTCGTGGAGTGGTATGATAATACCTCTTGACCTAATTTCTGTACACTGTACATGGCTGTCAAGCGAAAACTGTACAAGAAGTGCCTTCGGTCCCACGAGTGCACGCTCACCGAACGTGCATGTCGAAGGAATAGCCAACCCTGGAACGAGTGGGACGATAGAGACATCTCCATTGGATCCATTTTCGAGTCGGGCCAGCGTCTTCGATCGCGGCATGGGCGAATGTCGACACCTGAAGCAAGAGTGCAGAAGAGAACCCTCAAGATTGAGATCATAAGATCATATAAGATCTAACAAGCAGGTCCTAAAGGATCCAACCTCATGTAGCCTGTCATGTCTTTGCAAAGTGAGATAGGCCTCCAATGGAAGCCATTGAAAGCCATGGACGTAGGAAGACCCCTTGTCATGGACGTCGCTTCCGAGCCCCACGACGCTGCAAATAGTCCACGGCTTCTTGAACCCGAGACTTCAGCCCCTGAGTCCTTGGCAACATCATAGGCTGGTCTTCGAAGTGCTTGTGGATCTGGGGGGCTGGACGGGCTGGACTCCCCATTCAGGTCAATGTGTCAATGCGTGTTCAATTTCACAACTGATCTTCCATGCGTCTCTTGTTGGCCTAGGCGCGGCTTTAGACGTGTCCTTGGACCGACACTGTGCTTCTTCCTCAGTTGCATCCATGACCAATGATATTACAGTAAATCATTCGCCTCAAGCCATGCCTTCTTCCATGTGGCATCCCTGAAAGAAGGTGGAATCATTAGACCTTTTATGACCTTTTCATTGCAAATCCATGTAAGTCCTACAGATGTCCTGGCACTCCTTTCTCTGCATTCTGGCTCCAGACTTCACCGAGAGTCTTGTCGGGCGGCACGTCAGGCGGGTCGCGGACGATCGTTGCAGATGTCGCGGACGTCGCCGTGGAAGTGGTCACCTGTTTCGGAAGACTTTGGGTCGGGTAGGACGCCACAAAGAGCGGCAGGAGCTTGCTTTCGTCGAAGACCACGATGGCGTCGCCCACATGTCCTCAGATAGCTCTCCGCGCTGCGCTCATCTTTCACAGCACTCTTCGTTCATCGTTCAGCTGCGAAGGGATTGATTCAACATATTCATATACATACATACATTACATACATTACATACATACATACATTACATTACATTACATTACATTGCATTGCATTACATTACATTACATTACATTGCATACATACATACATACATACATACATATATATATATATACATATTCATCCCGACCGACTGGCGCTTCAGCACCTGAATCTTTCTCGGATGGACGTTGGAGACCCAGGAACAAGAAGCTACTAGGAGCAAAGGGCATCGCTACTAGGGGCAAGGACGCTACTAGGGGCTCCTGGCCTTACGACTAGGAACAAAAAGCTACTAGTAACAAGTGCCTTACTAGTAGTAACAAGAAGCTACTAGGGGCTCCTGGCATCGCTTTCTCGGATGGACGTTGAAGACCCTGTGGACCCACCAGACGGTCAAGCAAAAGCGGAGGTCACGGACCTCTCGGTGGCTTCTGCTGCCGGGCATCGCACTTGTGCAGATTCGGCTGTGATGTAGTGGTTTCCGCAGCGCACCGGACTGGGCAAGGCTACAGCATCGTCAAGCACGGCACAAATGAGAAGAGGGCGTGCGAGGCCCTTGGAGAAGCCAAAGGACAGCGCTGTGTTGTTGGTCTTGGAGGTGTAGATGCCCCGGCCATGAGAAGAACCATGGAGGACCTTCACATTGTTATCACCTGCAGGCACCAAGAGTCCTGGTGCGCGTCCGACATGCAAGACACCCAAGCCAGCAGAGCACCAACGTTCCAAAACATCTTCAACCGCTACCATTTTGGATGACAAATGAGTCATTCAGAATATTCAAGGAAAATTCCCCCTGGCCCTGGCAAGCTAGTCTTTGATTGCTTTCCCATCTTTAGTCTTTCCCATAGCTAAATGGCCAAAACGGCTCGAAAACCTATCCCGTCCTTTTTGGTAGATCGAAGGCAGGTTTCTCTCATCAGTGCCATGGAGGACCGGGGAGAGAGTGTCTGGCTGCTTGTCTTTGCAGCTCAGGAATCTGGATTGCAAAGACTTGTTCACGGGTGCCGCCCTCAACTCCACATCACCAACATAGCAGGACTGAAGGCCACGGCTGAGGGTCTCACCGAACTTCTCCAGAAAGCTCATCCGGAACTCTTCCTTTCAAACCAAGGTTTTCAACTAAAAACCCTACCTACCTACCTAACTAGCTACTGCACCTACCGACATCACCTCAGAGCAGGTCATACAGCGTAGTATTTTGGTTCGGGATTGGATTGGATACCATTGGATACCATGATAGGCCATGTGAGAAGAGCTCCGACAAGACTTTGAGCTATCCCGCGGTTCACAGAGTTCCCAAGACATGGACCACCTGGATCTCAAAATAATAAAGCAAAACCCCGACATCCCACGTCCGCAGCGCAGCGTCGAAGGTGTCATGCAGGCGATGCTGGAGCTCAGGGCAGCACAACTTCACACGCTGCGCTTGCAAGGTCTGGGCCACTCGTTGCACCTGGGTGTCTGGACGGTTGAAGAGCATCCACCGGTTCTCATGGTCATTCAGTTTGCAACTGTTGGTGGAGTTTGTGTGCAATGTGTAATTTTGCGGCATGCTAAAGTTGCTAAAGACCTGAAATGTTTTTGAAAGCGTGAACGACTGATCTAACATGAATCGTGCTCTATCAGTTGACTTGATCTGAACATGTCTCAACCAATCGCCTCAGGATCCTTCATCTTCTCATTCTCAGACTTTCGGCTGGTGGCCGTCTCTGCAGGTCCATCTCGGTACCTGAAGCAACCGCACAGGGCCAATGGCAATTTCTGCAAAGTCCCCGTTGAATAAAGCGGAAACAGAACTGGGCCCCAAAGAAAACCACTTCCCCGGAGAGTGTCTAACCACTTCATCCAGCCTCCTACTGTAACATGCTCTGACTTGGTGTCTGCCAAGCATCCCCTTGGCCACCACTTGCGCGTGCTCGAGGGCCTTCTCCCACCGTGTGGGGTACTTCACTGGCAGCTCGCAGGTGGAGGCCGTAGTGGAGAGGTCCGCACTGCTGCAGTCATCGAAGTCCTCCTGGCTCATGAGCTGAGAGATTCAATTGCCTAAAGTACAGTTACAGTAAAAGCCAAGAAAAATATGTGTTCAAGCTATCAATCTACCAGTAATTGGTGAAGTCATGTGAAGTCTTGATTCTGCCAGCTGCCCTGTGGCCCCAAACCCCACACCAGGTCCTCAACTTCCTCCATGTCATTCCAAAGGCCCTCATCCTCACTCACCTCCCAAGCTAACCAAATGTCGTCAGTCTCAAGCTCTGAGACAGCATCCATCATGTCATCGACAACGCTACGCCACTGCCTGGAGAGTTCAAAAATTATTTTGTTTCGAGTGATCCCCATCATGACATCTCAATCATATGTTTACAAGCCATGCTACGTTTGGTGGTTCTCGGTTTTGCTTGGGTCCTGCGGTTGTGCGTTGTGGTTGTGTGCTGTGGTTGCGTGTTGTTGTGGTAGTGTGTTGTAGTTGTGTGCTGTGGTTCTGTGCTGTGGTTGTGTCTTGTGGATGTGTGCTGTGGTTGCGTCTTTGTGGTTGTGTGCTGTGGATGCGTCGGTGTGATTGTGTGCTTGTGATTGTGTGTTTGCGGTTGTGTTTGTGATTGTGTTTGTGGTTGTGTTTGTTGTTGTGTGTTTAGGATTGCGTGTTTGTGACCGTGGCAGTGGTTGTGTTTGTGGTTGTGTGCTTGTGATTGCGTGTTTGTGGTTGTGGCTATGGTTGTGTTTGTGGTTGTGTGTCTGTGATTGTGTTTGTGGTTGGGTGTTTGTGGTTGTGTTTGTGGTTGTGTGTTTGTGGTTGTGTGTTTGTGATTGTGTGTTTGTGATTGTGTGGTTGTGGTTGTGTGTTTGTGGTTGTGTTTGTGATTGTGTTTGTGGTTGTGTGTTTGTGGCTGCGTTTGTGATTGTGTTTGTGGTTGTGCTTGTGGTTGTGTGTTTGTGATTGTGTTTGTGGTTATGTGTTTGTGATTGTGATTGTCGTGGTATGATTGTGTTTGTGGTTGTGTGTTGTGCTGTGGTTGGGGTCCGGCAGGGAACACTTGGGCCTGGAGCTCGCGGTTGAGGTCCGGCAGGGAACACTGGGCGCACAGTCGCGGTTGAGGTCCGGTGGGGAACACTTGGGCCTGGAGCTCGCGGTTGAGGTTTGGCAGGGAACACTGGGCGCGGATGGTCGTGGTTGAGGTCCGGCAGGGAACACTTGGGTCTGGAGCTCGCGGTTGAGGTCCGGCAGGGAACACTGGGCGTGGGTGGTCGTGGTTGAGGTCCGGCGGAGGAGGCGGAGGAGGAGGCGGGAGATGGGGCTGACGTAAAATCTAACAACCCTCACCTGACAGGTGGGGAAAAATGAAGGACTCACCCAAGATCCACTGCGGCTTGATAATGCACAATAGGTTTTTGTGTTTAATACCTATGTATACACAGAATTATACGGATACGGTATATAAAGCATACCGCATTCTGTCGCTCCCCTTGTCCAGTCAGCTGTATTCGAGTAAAATCACCTACAGAAAGAATCTTACAAATCTCACAACGTCATGATCACCATCCACTTCAAAAAAAGGACCTTCTTGGCATGTTCTGTACATGTTGTGATCTCCATGAGTCTCCTGCAGCTTTGGACCTTCTTCTCCCAAAAGCCCGGGTTCTCCCAGCGTCTGCCGGAGTTCACGCTGCGCTTCACCGTGGAGCGGCCGCAGAGCACGACCTCGCTGACGGTGGCGCGAGCGCTGTGGCGCTTCCGGTGGCCGAGCTTCATCGACCAGCCCCGAGGAACAGGCGCATCACGCTGTTCGGGGAGCTCAAGGTGCTCATCGAAGCACGCCATGGGAAGAAACGAAGAAAATCACTGGGCGACTCCGGGTGTGGAAGAAACGTTGGAGCCCGATGGCTGGTTGTCAGTGATCCGCCTCATGCCGCAAGGCATCTGAACAAATCCTTGCCCATAGTAGCTTCTAGCTACTAGTAAGTACTTGAAGTTGCAGTCTGTCCTCTATCAACGCCCCACTCGGAAGCACCGCGGAGGCTGAGGCCGGACGCCTCAAGCGATCCAGGTCCTTTTCCTCCAAGCCCCGCTGCCTTGCCAACTCGGCCAAGCCAGAAGCATCCTGGGCAGTTCGGCATCCGGTGGTCTGCTGCTCAGTGGGTTGATTCATTGATCATTTAGGATTATAAGATATTATATACATTCACTTGACATGAGCCTCAGACTTAGAAGACAGGGCCACACCAGACTTAGTTGTTCTAAAAAGGTTCACGGCAACTCATCTATATCCTCAGTAGGTTCGTGTTGACATTCACATGTATTTTAATATGTTTTATCCTCACCCGACCTTATAGATCAAGGCCCGGACACTGGAAGCGAGGACAGCATAGTCCACCTTGCGGGGAGCCATTGAGCTGTCCTGGCCATTGCGGAGCGTGACAGCGATGGATGCGAAAAAGGACCGAAACTGAGAAACTCGAAAACCTGACTGGTGCAACTCGTAGGGAATAAGGGAATGAGCTCCCTTATTAAGGTTCCATTGGATCCATTCCCTCATTCCCTACAAAGTGCAGGTGAGAAACGTGGCAACGTGACCCTCTCCACTGCCACCACCACCTGCACAACATGTCGACTGAACACACACCAGCGACCACCGTCCCAGGCTGAGGCACAGACTTCCCCCGCTTGCTTGGAGTTGCGATCATAAACGACCACCACCTTTGCAAAAGACTCCACTCGCGTGCCAGAACATCGGTTCCTGGCCCGAGAGCTGAACGTCTTCAGGCGTAAAGGTGGCGGTCGCTGTGGCCCAACGAGCCTCACAGGATGAAAATGACACAATGACCAAAGAAGAAACTTAGCCAGCCTTATACTGAAAACAGCAAAATAGTTATTATATAGTTATGTTGTTCTGTTATCAGTTTGTGTTGGTCATTCTATTCGTCATGTGTTTGTTGTTGTCATTCTGTTTGGTGTTTATTTGTCAATTGATTTGTCATATGTGGTTTCATGTTGTCGCTTCTTTGTCATTTACGTTTCACTTTCATTAGCACAGGGTTGTCATTGTCTTGCCATGTTGATCCGTTTTGTTTGCTCTTTGGGTGTTGGCTGTTTTTCATTGCTGATGGGTGTTGCTATTTGCAGTGAAACTTCCCCAAGTTTGCCTGGTGTCGTGTTGTTTCCAATTATTAGTATTACCTTTTGATCTTCTCACTCACCTTTGATTGGGCTGATTGCTCGTTCGTTGGTGATGGTGAAGCTGAAGCTGTCATCGTTTCTTGCTTGTCATTGCTTTCCCCGTCGCCAAGCCATTCGGACACATTAGCTTGTTTGGCTCCGCAAACTGCTGGTATACTACCTTCTGTAGGGCCCTAGCAGTCGGCTGGCCGCCCCTTGGCTGAGCGCAGCACCACACGGCAACCCCTCTTGAAAGTCCGTCTCCTCCTGCCCACTCAATTTGCTCAAATCACTGGTATCATCCTTCAGTTCGTTATATACAGCCGATTTTTCAGAGCAAGCAATTAGGTTCAGATTACAGTATGTTTACTGCACAGGCGCAGTAAAGCGCACGATGCGGCGCACGATGCGACGCACGATGTGTCGCTCCGCCGAATGACCATGGCTTCTCGGAGCAGCAGTGCCGCAAGCGCAGTGTGGCGTGCTATTCCAAGGCCTGCAGTCCAAGTTTGGCCTTTCCGGGCAACCAAGTTGGCAAAAGTTGGCTTGTCCTTGCTCCTAGTGGCCACTAGGAGCAAGGACGCTATTAGGGGCGCTCCTGGCCTTACTACTAGAAACAAGAACGCTACTAAGAAGCTACCTGGCCCACTCGGCACCTGAATTCGTCAGCTTTTGGTGGATCAAATGGGTAGATTTCCTGGCGGTCGATGAAATCCATGGTCCAGGGGTGGATGGTGCCTCAGAGGCCAAAAGGAAACGGATGACTTTTGCAAACAAGCCATGCCAGTTTCGTCAACAGTTAGGGTGAAAACTGCATGGGCAAACTACAGCCAGGCTGCGCAAAACGCTGGGGCCAAAGACATCCCAAACGACTGAGGATCCAAATGTCAATGCCAAAGGAAAACAAATATCTCACAAAGCATCGGTGTTTTTGTACAGTATGTTTTTGTAGAATCTTGGTTGCACAAGCAGCCCAGACTAAGTGCGTGGAAGTTCATTGAAACTGTCGCCATTTGCCCTGTGCTTTGGAATTGCATGCTGCCTCCTCTTGAGCTCCACAGCTGCTGCCATTTAACTGGTGCTGTTTTCAAGTTTCAAGCAAAATTGATCCAGTGTCCAGTTAAAAGAAATTGTATATACCTCGCATGAAAAAGGCTGATGCGCTAAACTTCAATAGCATCAACATGCAACACTTTCAGCTCTACAAACTCACTTCTCAGAATTCCTGCCACTCGCTTGTCGGACTGCTTCGTTTACCATGTTTACCTGGACCACTCACCCCAATTGCACCCACTTGCGGGGGCCTCCACCGCCGCCGTTCCGGGGGCGTCTGCTGGAGGCGGTTCCGGCGCTTCTGCCGCCTGAGTCGAGCCAGATGCCCCGCGGGGCACCGATCCGGGCCGTCCAAAATGATCCAAGCACCTCAGTTGGGCCCTCGAAAGGTGGCACATGAATCACACAGACATAAACAAACCATATCAAACCATTTTGGAAAAATGATAGAAATAGCATTGGTGAGTGGTGTCGCATCCCACAGCCTCGGCCACAACGGCCGCGGGAGGGGCCGATGGAGCCAATGGAGCAGCCTGAAGGCTCAAATGATGCGGGAGTTGGGGTGCCTGGGTAAGGCTGTGAAGCCTGACTGGTGTCGAAATATTCTTACCAATGATCGTGGTGTCAAGGCACTGCGCGGGAGCGGCTCAACCGCCACCACCCTCCAGAAGTCTGTCCAAGACACCCACCTCGCACACTCCAACGAACTCCACCTGCGGCACAGCAAGGCTCACCTCTGAGCCCCATGTTCACACGCACATAGGGGGAAACCACTGGGGAGACCGATATTCTTCAGTGTCATTTCCTGGTTTTGAATCTGTCGCTTAATGATCTTAATGCCCATGGCAGAACTCAGAACTCAGGACTCAGAAGCCTTTGGATTCTGGATACCCAAGCTGCAAATACAGCACATGGGTCATGCACGTATGAGACACCGAATCATGTTGCATGGGATGTGTGAAAAGTCGTCTAAGAGAAACTCTCCATCCATCTTTTCCATCGCTCCACGTGCCTCGTCGAGCAAAGAGTCGGGCACGAAAGCCCCCGGCCTCGTATAGGAGACAGTGCCAACCAACATGCAGAAGGCATGAGTGCTGAAAGTGGACGCCCGGTGGTTCCCGTTTATATGCTTGTTTTGTTGTTCTCTTTTGCGATCTAGCCGCTATAGCCTCCACTGGTCACAATGAAGGGTGCAACTGACCCAACAAAACACCAAAGGCCTCCTCGTCGGACCCAAACCCTGAGGAACCGGGCGCACTCTGACATTTGGCCTGAAAGCTTCACACAGGGACGGAGCATGGCTGGTAGGCTTGCAGAATGAAGGATGTCAGGTTTGATTTGAGGAAGGGACCGGAATCGAGAAAACATCAGAATGAAATAGGAACATGAGTCATGGGGCCATCAGAATACCATACCATACCCTTGGCTTTTGAGTCCGACTTCTAGCCATCTCAGCAACTGACTCTGTCCAACCTCTCCACCCACTGCCACCCACTGAGGCCATCGGCAGGTGACTCCGGTGGATTCTCAAAGACCTGAGGCCGGACGTCGTGACATCCATGGCAGTGCTACATGGGAACATATGGAAACACTGGAATCCGCTGGAACTGAACCATTTCAACCCAAATCACTGATCTCCAGCCCTGGCAACCCATACTCTAACAAATGCAGCATATGAATGCATATGAATGCATATGGTATCATATGTTCATGGTCGCCAGTCCATCTCTGCCTCGATGGCGTCAGGCTTGGGCAGTTCTGGCTCGGTGGGCTCGGCCGGCTTGGCTGGATCTTGTGGGCTTTCCACCGCGTCGACCTGCCAGGGCTCTGCAAAGTTCTGCCAAACACACCACACGCATCACACCACTACGTACGCCTCGATGCTTGGGTCCGGCTCGAAGACATGGCCTTTTGCCCCACGACACGGGCCGCCTGCAAGATGGACGTTATAAGTTAGGACAGAAAGTCCAGGTGTCAGGAGAGGCTTGGATCAGGTAGGAAAACCTCTGGACTAGCAAGAAAACACACGTAAGGTGGGCGGCTTTTGGGTCAGGGACCTGGCATCAATCAGGACAATTTATGATTTATAAGCAACACCCCCCAGTACCCCCTCTGTCTGTAGCTTTGGGTGTTCTCACTGGGCTTCCCTTGCATTGGCAACATGCATCTCTTCACCACAGGTTTGACACTTGCCGTCTCATGGCCTGGCTCTTGATCTTCGGATAAATCCAACATAAGTTGCAGTGTGCTGTCCTCAGCATGCCGAAGGAATGACTTTGGCCTACTCCCGCCGAATCCTCTAGCAGTCTGCACGTGCCTGCCCCTGTCTAGCCAAGGCTCCACATGATCCTCCTCCACCTCACCTGGGCCCCACCAAGTGAGAACTAGGTGCCAAAAATGGCACGGAGGTCATTGGTCACAGTACGTCATAGTACACCACCAAGCTTGCGACAATGTATCTGGCTTAGGCCGGGGGCCTGTGTTCCAAACGCACAGGAGACAATTCATTACGTCATTACGTGGTTTGGCAGTTCCACATCAAGCTGATAAAAGGGCATGCGCCTGAAGACAGCAGTGCACATATGTAATTACAACATGTCTCTGTGTGTGTAGGCTTTGGAGTCACAAGGTGCCTCTCGGCGCTATATGCACTTTGCAGGGGGCGCGGCATGAGTGTGCGGCAGCACTCAAGAAAGCTACCACAATCATGGAATGCCGAGTGTGATTATCTCGGGGTACCTGCACCGGAAGTTGTTGTGAATGTGTTGGCCACTCTCCACTCGTAGGGGCCTTCAGGCTGTTACGGGATGATTCAGCTCCGCGGATGTGCATTCTTCGGAGCTTTGAACTGTGAACTCGGAAACCATGGACCTGGGGACTGTGAACTTCTTGAATTGGAAGGTGGTTGAAGCCGCTGCATTTACCTGACCTCTTTATTTTTTAGATTTTCTCTGAGACTCTAGTGATGTGATGAAGCAGCTATACAATATTGTAACCCCGTTCCCGTGTGAATAACCACCCCCATAGGAGTCCCGAATCAACAAAAATGACCTAAATGGCTTCTTCCTCTGCCCCATGGCCTCATCAGGTTCATCCATCACCTCCTCAAGGGGTGCATCTTCCTGAGGAGGCTCCTCAAAAAAGGAAGACTCGTGTCCATGTATTGTAGTAGAATGGACGAAAAGGCACCCTGAAGAACATAACTTTTACTGTATATAGTTACTTCGTCTTGAAGAACAAGAAAGTGGAAAATTGCTTGACGGCAAGCCATGCTCCTCTACAGTAGCTGCACATCTTGCACTTCCATGTTTGTTCAACATGGAGTAAAGGCGTGCGTTTGCCCATTGGCCAGCTAACATCGATTTGCCCAAATCCCACGTCAATGGAGCTATGGCCTCCTCTGCACCATCCTTTTCGGCTTCATCTTCCGGAGCCTCCGCAGCCAAAGCTGACACAAAGTGCCACAAACTTACACTGCCTGTCTGTGGAACAAAATACCAAACGAACCTAACAGTCGAACCTTTCTCATTCCCCTCTTCTGATGCTTATGATTCGATGCCAAAGTCGCACAACTAGTCTTCGAGTCTTTGCATGTCTTCGCATTTCTGTCATTTCTCCAAATGGCATGGCCCTGTCAAGCCGGATTTCCAGCACCCATCCATTCGGGGGGCTTCAATCAACGCCGGTTTGGCTGATCGGCTGATCGGCTGTCAGCGAGGAAGCGGCACTCATCTCGCAGCACCCAAAACATCAAAGCCCTTGCAGTGAGCAGCATCCACGTCACGGACAGATCCTGGTCTCACAGTCGTTAGCAACGGAGCGGCGATCTCCATATCACTGCACCCAAAACGTCAAAATCCTTGCATGGAGCAGGGGCCACACCGCGGACATACCCTGGTCCGAGGGTCGTATTTAAGAAGGCACAAGTCACCTCGCATACAATTGCAACTGCACTGAGCTGACAATCCCAGGGCAATTCTCGCAACCCATGAAGCAAAAGGGAAGGCTGCACAGCCCGCTCCTGGCCAAACCAGCGGCGTATCGCTGAAGGCTTCGAGCCCCCTCGCTGTCCCAGCGAAGCCACCAATTGTGGCATTTTTGCATCTTCTGATAAGTTGGAATCAGACTTTTGAAGAGCAAGAGAACCGTTGCTGAACTGCCTCTCATCTGCAACATTCGGCTCAAGCCGTGATCGTCTTGGCGAGGTTGCTCTGGCAGCATTTGAGCCATTGCTAATCTGCCTTTGCATGCCAACATTCACTTCAATCATTGATGGCCTCGGGGAGTCTCTCTGACGGTTTGAACCGGTGCTAATCTGCCTCCCCAATGGAGCTGTCGAAACATCACGAGACACAGCTGGCGCTAAAGCCTTGGCATCTTCTGACAAGCTGGAAGCATCAGACTTTTGAAGAGAACTGTTGTTGCTAATCTGCCTCCCAGATTCTCTCGGCGAGTTTCCTCTCAGAACACATGAATCACCGCTCATCTGCCTCCCCAACGGAACATTCACGTCAAGAATTGATTGCCTTGGTGAATTTGCTCTCTCAGCATTTGAGTCATTGCTAGTACGCCTCCCAATGGGAAGATTAAGATCCAGCGATGATCTCCGAACATTGGAAGCACTGCTGATCAGACTCCCCACAGGAGAATTCATATCCTGCCATACCTGTACTGGTAAAGTTGCTCTCTGAGCATTTAAGTCATTGCTAGTACGCCTTCCGATGACAACATTAACGTCAAGCATTGATTTCCTTGAAGAGTTTCTCTGAAGAGTGGAACTGTTGCTTGCCTGCCTCCCCATGCGAAGATTCGCGTCCAGCATTGATTGCCTCTGTGACTTTTCAACTGGAACATCTAAAGATCCAGCTGGCTGTTCTGACATGTTGGACGTGTCAGACTTTGGCTGAGAACTGTTGCTAATGACATGAAGAGCTGATTGCCTTGGCAAGTTGGCTCTTCGTGAATCACCTGCAACGTTCACAAGAAGAACTGACTGTTGCGCTGGTGCATTGGGAGCGTCTTGAGCATTAGCACATGGCTTTGCTTGAGGCTTGTCCTCGGGCCCACGAATGCAAACCAGTCGTGGAGGTTGCACTGACGTACCCGGAACTTGCCCTCCTCCTGAGCTTTCAGGTAGAGGCAAGATAGAAGACAACTTAGACCTGTCACCACATGGTGAAGTCATTTGTAGCGTCCTTGCACCGCTTTTCTTGAAGCCGCTGTCATTCAGTTCATCCAAGCGCCAGCCCGTCTGAGAGTCATCCGGGCACATTCTGCGAACCTCCGCGCTTAGGTAGCTTGTATGCCGTGAACTCTTCTGAAGATCATAGTCGATGAGTTCAGGAAGGACAGGGCTCATGGGAACAATCTGCTGGATCACGATGAAGTCTTCAAGGTATTCTGCAACCAGCAGACACAGCAAGGCGGCTCCCGCAGATGCATTGTACACTGGAGATCCAGGTCCAGACAAAGATAAGTTCTGATAAACCAAGGCCCTGCTCAAAACCAAGGCAAAAATTGCCGGAAACCTGAAGTAGCCTGCATAGATCTTGATCTCATCATGTAGCTTGCCAAAGGCTGTCGGTGCAAAGAACAAAGCCCGCTTCAACCCTGCGGCCTTCTTGAGAGCCAGGAAGAGGCAGAGTCGCGTCCATCCAGACCGTGCCACCACATTGAGGAGCAAAGTAAGAACTACGCTACCCACCCAAGCGTACTCACCAGTCGTCACAGCTCCAGAGAAAACGGCTGCCACCCGAGCACATTCCGCAAG